CACCGGCAAGACATGCTAGGTAATTCAAGTTGATAATTACTCAGTTAAACAATAAAAATGTTATTAGAAGTTGTGGCTATGATATGGTGCATGCAATTGTAAAATATGGAGATAGGAGCATGTTTCATAGAATGAATAAAAGTAATAGTGGTGTAATTTTGTTATTTTCTCTTTATTACTTTTAGGTATGGAATTCTGCGTTCCTATCAAGCAGTGCTTTCATCCATGAATTATTGCCATTATGTGTGCACAAGAACTAGTAGAAGAGCTCAACTCCACTCACTTTGGTCTTGGGGATGAAGTTGCTTCTATTCGTATTAAGTTGCAGCATTGTTTTACTGCACTTGAGGTTTTGAGGAATCCAAGTGTGAATGATTGAATGTAGTTCAATATTGGTTGAAAAATGACTAAGTGAGTACCATATAAATGGAAGGATCCATGTACCTAATGCCTTAAGGTTTTGTGTTTGATTGTGGTGTTCCAAACCCACTTAGCGTTGCTGCTCACTTGGTCTGTGGTTGGCAGTCTCCCCCTACCATGAGCTCTCCTAAACCAGGCTCTGATACCACATTAATGTAGCCTCACCTAACAGCTTAAGATTTTGGATAGCTCTAATACCCCATTAATGTGCCTTACCCAACAGTCTAAGCTTTTCGGTTGAATTGGTTCTTTACATGGTATCAGAGCCTCGGTGTTAGGGGTTCGATCCTCATTATCCCATATTTAATTAATAATTAATCAAGTCTTGTGAAATTTCTTAGCATAGATAGGTGGGCATGTGCATTGTCTACTCTTCAAGCCCAGTGGGCTCTTATGTCAAGAGGCATGTTAGAAATATATAAAACCATTAATGTAGCATCACCCAATAGATAAACTTTTAGGCTGAATTGGTTCTTTATATGAGGTTCAAATTCATCAAATCAATGAATCTCTTTTAGTTCGCACTTTGCAACATAGAGTTTGATCATTAGAAATAAGTTCACAACATGCTATTATGGTGCGTCAAGAACACAATGTGCATAAAGAAAATAATTAACTCACTTCTATTGTAAAGAACCAATTTGACCCAAAAGTTATTGAGTGAGACTACATTAATGATTTTTATATTTCTCTAACATACCCCTTCACATAAGAGTCCATTGGGCTTGAAGGATGGATGATGCATCTGGCCAAGCCTACCTGTGTTAAAAAACTCCACAATACTTAATTATTTATTAATTAAATGGGGGGCAATGAGGATCAAACTCGTGACCACTTGGTCACACAGGCTCTGATACCATGTAAACCCAAAAGCTTAAATTTTTGGGTGAAGTTACATTAATGATTTTATATTCCTCTAACACGTCCCATTACACAAGAGCCCATTGAACTTGAAGGGTGGACAATGCATAGACCCACCTATCTGTGCTAAGAAACTCCACAAGACTTAATTAATTATTAATTAAATGGGGGGCTGTGAAAATTGAACCTCTGACACCGAGATTCTGATACTATGTAAAGCGCCAATTTAACTCAAAAGCTTAAGCTGTTGGGTGATGCTATATTAATGATTTTTATATTTTTCTAACATCTGTGCTATGAGATGCAATGACATTTCTCTTTGTTTGAAATACAAGATCAACACATAAATGAATTCGTGTTATTGTTGGATGCCTGAGACCAACCAAAACTTGCATCCAAGATAACACTTCTTTCCATGTTTTTTTATGGTTTTTTTTCATTTTTCTTTTGGACCCAGACCGATACTTAGTTATTTTTTTCCCTATTAGACTTTGAGAACAAGGTCTATTTTTTGGAAGTGGAAATGTTACATAAATGGTTAGATTTCATCTGGAATGTTGAGAAGACACATGACCTGTTAAGTAGTCCAAGTTAATAATTGTATATTAGTTAGCGGCTTGTAGAAGTGTTAATTTTATGATATGGTGCACGCAATTGTAGAATATAGAGATAATAACATCTTTCAATGATAAAAAGAAGTAATATTGGTGTAATCACTTCTCCCCAAAAATACTTCTTCAAAAATGGAATTTCCAACATTATAATTCAAATCAATGTTATTAAACTCGAACTGATCATTGACTTAATTGGGATACCAGGTCATTGGGTTATTGGTTCAACCAGCGGATCACTGGTTGAACCACGTGACTTAGATATATGTACATAAGTTTATATTTTATACTTAATTATATAATAAATATTTTAAATGGTGCAATTTAACCAACAATTTAATATAGCCTAGTGCAGTTTCATAAAAAAAGAGTCATTGGTACTTAGAGATTATAGCCTTTATTTGGGTGGTCTACTTCCACTTTACATTTCTACCATACTGTTATGTCAACTTCATCATCTAGTGATCAATACTTCCTTTCAATATTAGTACATGTCTCTTTATTATGCAGCAAAACCTCAACTTGGAATTGAGTTTTGGAATATTAAATCATTTTATTATTAGATAAATTTAAGTTAAAGGAGATATATAAGTAGTCTTAGAAGAACTTGGCTAGCCCAAATCTAGAAACATGAATCACAAATTCGAGTTCAATAATATGATGTTTGACTTGGGGTCTATATGGAATATCACAAGGGAAAATCTTTTGTAGAAAGATATTGTCATGACAATAATCTCTATAGATTCCCACAGCTTTTGTGCATCTCCATTTAGCATGGTTCATCGGTATACAACCCCAACTCCTCCTCTTCCTATATTGTTTTTCCTTACACTTTCTTAGATACCTTCATTTCCATATTCTTGCTTTTGAAATACTATTAATGCCTTATCTCTCCATCTCTTTGCATTTGATGAATTGTTGTTATTGCTTTATGGTAATTCCTTTTTCCTTGCATTTACTCCCACATCGTCCTGTATAGAAATGAATTCATTCTTTAAGCATGTTTTGGTAGCTTTAGTTGCAAAATCGATGCAGGGTGGACTGTACGTGGCTTATTTAATAAGTGGGACAATCAATCGAGTTTATTTTGAATGAGCCGCGTTGTCTGTTTTCACGAAAACTTAAATTTTGGCATGTCATATTTTGCTAATCCGAATATGAATTTTTGTGTTGTGTTCGTATTATGTTAGTGTGTCGGGTCAATAATTCACACCCCTAAATATAGACATATAAAAGTTATTAAGTAAATGAATAACAATTAAAATAATGCTAAACAAAATTACTCTAGAACAATGTTATTAAAATCGACTCGATTATTGACCCGGTCGAGGTACTGAGTCGGTTGAACCGCATGACCCAGAAAATTCAAATACAATCTGTCAACTATCACTTAACAAACTACTCATTCAAGACAAGATAATAAATGCAATTCTGTATATTTCACTTTCCAAGACAAAATAATAAATGCAATCCTGTACAAACTCATTTCACATCTCACACCTTTGTTTTTTTTCCACGCTATGTCTGTTTATCTTATGCTCTTTTCCTTCACCATTGTTAAACTCCTTCTTTACATTGTTGCCACTGTAGCCATGGCCTCAACAAGTTCAAGCGTCACCGCCGTCCATTCTGATATCATCTACACTTACATCCTCACCCGCCTCGTCGCTGCAATGCTCGCCTCCGCATAGACCAGGATATCTGGCGAGACATTTGTACCGCCATGTGGCCTTTCCTGGCTGACTTCCTTGCCGACCAAGTCATTTCCACCATCCCCGGTGGCCAACGTTCCATTTTCTCTGACACTTTCCCTTCCCTTCTGTTGTCTATTTTTGACCCGGCGAGTCATCAGTTTTAGTAAAATCGATCGGTTCATATTGGGTCACGTCAGTTTGTTTGTATGTTCGATCCATTAGTTCTACCCGGACCGGTCACATGACTAGTTTATTAATTTTCGGTTCGAACCGGCCGAATCGGTCCAATTCTTATAGCACTGCTCTAGAATACTTATAATTTTGGAATCAAACTCAATCTCTCGCAAGGATAACAAAAATTTGTACCAAATATAATATAATATTATTTAAAAATTATAATATAATATTATTTTCAAATATAATATCAATTTAAGTTAATGAGTCTCGGCCCCTCTATGGCATGTCTTTCACATGAGACTAACAGGTGTAATGAATGAACTGTCCATCCAAATGAACTGGCGGAGTAGAAGATAATTCTAAGAAGATCCAGAATGTTTCAATTGACTTTTTTAAGTTGATTATAGAGTTTTAAGATATGAAATGGAATGCAGCCTCCTAAATTTGAAGTTTAGCTCATAATTTCAGGCTGGGACCACCTCGTAGGAACATATATATATATATATATATATTTATTAAGTGAACTATTTAATTTATGAAAAATAAAACTTTTATTAGTTTAATTTTTTAGAAATAAATTTTATTGATTTAATCTCTAAAATTTAAAATTTAAAATTTTTCATTCCTCCTTTATTTGGAATGAAATTATATTTAATTTTAATAGTTAATTTGGAACATTAAAAAATGATATAACATACTTAGCTCGCTTAATTACGTTAAAATAATTTTGTCTGACCTAAATTCATCTGAAAAAGAAATTAAAATATTTTATAATAAAATATTATATACTCACACAAGCCCAAGTGAATATAAGATTAGTAAAACAAGATCATTTTATCATAATTAACTGAGTTTTATATATCATGTCACTTTTTAATGTACAGAATTTTTTTAAAAATATATAACATTCAAATTGAACACAGAGAAAAAAGTGAAACAAAAATAAAAATTTGAAAACTTATATTAAAAAGAATAAAATTGATAAATAAATTTTTTAAGGAAGAAAATGAGGTTTTACAGTATCTTTTTGCAAGCAGATTCGAAATGGGGCTATCTATTCCCCATGGTTTTCTTTTGTTATTGGGCCTTGGCCCCATTTGGTATCCAAGAAAAAAATAAAAAGGCCTCATTTGGTTAAAATGACAAAAAAAAACAAATATATCAATTTATAATTAATAAATATTAGGGTTAAAATAGTAAAGCCAGGAGAAACTGGTTACGTTATAAGACCCTGAACCCTAATTGCACTCTTCTTCGCCGCAGGAGAAAGCGTAGAGAGAGAAGAAAAGAAGAAGCAGAAGAAATGACGACGAGGTTCAAGAAGAACAGGAAGAAGAGAGGCCACGTCAGCGCCGGGCACGGTCGTATCGGGAAGCATCGTAAGCATCCCGGTGGTCGAGGAAACGCCGGAGGCATGCACCACCACCGAATCCTCTTCGACAAGTACCACCCTGGCTATTTCGGAAAGGTTGGGATGCGCTACTTCCACAAGCTCCGCAACAAGTTCCATTGCCCAATTATGAACATCGATAAGCTATGGTCCTTGGTTCCTCAAGATGTGAAGGAAAAGGCTTCAAAAGACAATAAAGCCCCCTTGATTGATGTCACCCAGTTCGGGTACTTTAAGGTTTTGGGGAAAGGGGTTTTGCCTCAGAATCAGCCACTCGTCGTTAAGGCAAAGCTCGTTTCAAAGATCGCCGAGAAGAAGATCAAGGAGGCTGGAGGAGCCGTTGTCCTCACCGCTTAGGGTATTTTTAATTTTAATTTTTAATTTTTTCTTTTTTCTCCGATACTTTTTGTTTTGGATTGGGTTGAGATCTTGGATATTGTTATTGATTCTGCTTTATTTGAGGATTTAAGTTTCTTATTTTAATTTTGCATGTTTTAGGTGTAATGTTATGATAATGTTCTCGATTAATCGGGTTTATTGTTGCGATTGTTTGTGATCACGTTAAAATAAATCATACTAATAATATTGTGAAGCTGCGAATCTATTGTTGGCAAATTGAAAAATTGATCTTTAGGTTAAGCTTTTGAAAATCAATATCAGCTTAGGTTTGTTGGATCTGCATGATATGAAATGGAATTTGTTTTGGGGTAATTGCTTTTTTGTCGAGGGCTCATGATTAATTTTATTTTCTTGAACATTTTCTCATTGTATCTTTTTCAAATATTCCCTTCGAAGTTATTGGCCTTGTTCATTTTGATGCAAGTTTTAAATGTTTTCTTCTGTTGTGAAAAATTACCGTATTACTTTTTGGATAGAAGATCATATGCTTCTAATGTGGTAGAGGAAAGGAAACATGTACATCTACTTGTGTTACTTTAAATAATAGTTGTACTACCAAATGAGAGTAGTTCATATGGTGCATGAGAGCTGACCAGATGGAAGTGAGAGCATATGTTCGATCCTTCACTTCTGGAAAAGATTTAAAACTTTAATAGTGAACCCATCCTGAATAAGTAGATACTTGTGGTTATAAAAAAAAAAAAGTAGCTGTACTTGAATTGAAAGTGATAAAAACATAGAGATGTTGTTGGGAGGAAATGTCATGGGAAATAATCAAAACCAGTTGAGTTAAAATAAAACTGGCAAATGAATTATTTGCTTCCTGATCTCTTTCATATCCACTTCGACTCTAGTTGACTTGTTCTCTGTCAGTGCATCTCTTAGCTTACAATCTGGAACAGCCATGGTTGTAACAGTGTATTGTCCATGGTAGTGTCTGTGACTCTTCCATAAATATAAATTATGGGAAAAATATTTGTTATTTTAAATGACACAAAGTAGTTTCATTTTAATGAAACTACCTATTTTGGTGTGGTTTTGTATTTTCTCTCCTCTTTCTTCTAATTTTATAAAAAAATAACAAAACACATTAAAATGACATAATTTCATTAAAAATGGCATAATAATTGTATTGACGTATTGTTTAGCTATGCGACAAAATCAAAGAGTGTACACTAGTAATAAATGTCTTTTTTGGTCTTTCACCAAACATCATAGAAAGATTAATTTATAAACATTGTTGCGATTTAAAGATTTTTGCAACGATTGTGTTATATGGTTATAACTTTGATCTTTTTTGTTCCCTTACTGTACCAAATCTTGTTGGCATTCTAGGAATACGAACTAAATTGCAAAAATTATGTGTATTATACGACTATTTTAAATTTCAAGTAAAGTCTTAAAATTATAAAATAAATAGATATTTAAGAGAAAATTGATTTAATTAATAGAAGACTATTTTACTGGTAATAAAACGTTAAAACCTAAAAATATCAAGTGTTTGAAACTTTTTAGTTCTGAAAAAATCTCAAAAATTAGTTTAATTAACAAAAGATTGTTTTATTAATGATTTGCAAATATTTCATTATGTCTAAAATTAATTGAAGAAATTTGAGTACTGGTTAAAAATTTAAAAATTTCTTAAATTTTCTTTCCAATGTTAACTATTTAAAGAAAAAATATTGATTTGATTCTAAAATTTTAAATACATATGTTAGAATGAGAAAGATACGTAGCTATGTCAGATGGAAAATACTTAGGGGGCGTTTGGTACCCGTCTTATTTTGCAATCCCCGGGAAAACAGCATTTGACAAGATGGAACCCCGCGTTTGGTAAACCAAAAAGAAAACAAATCCAGAGCACAAACTTATCCCGAGAAAACAAACCATGTGTAATGAACAGTACCGATTGCAAAGAAGAAACTCCATCCATTTTGTTCCCGGGAAAAGATGATTTGAGGCGCAAAATAATTGACTAAATTAACCCTCCTTTTTTTACGACCTCTGTCATTTTGCTGAGCAAGCTTTGCTGCGTTACTTGTTCGTGTATTTGGAGAAGATCTTGACCACCGTCGAAGCTTGTACACTCAGCTGCCTACACATCAGAAGGTAAATTGGTGGAAATTTCAGATGTTCGAACACATGCATGTATTGAAAACAGCAAGCAAATACAGAATTGTTTGCCCACAATGTAAAAAAAACAGAGAGATTCCATTGACCCCAAGTGGTTATTATCTTGATTCACACCCCATCATCATATGATGTATCGAGCACAGCAGCCATCACCCAAGGGTCTGTGGACATTAATCAGGATCAGGATGACAATGGTCTGTGCAATAGTATACAAACCTTTAGTTGAAGGTTCAATCTTGAGGTGTAATGGCAGGGAAGAGAAGAACTTCCTGTCACCCGATCAATACCCAAACCCCAACCACCTGTTGGTGGCAAACCATACTCCAGAGCCGATCAATACCCAACTTCCTGCCACTTTGCCAAAGACCTCATTACCTCAGGATGATTTATGATGAATGTAGGATTCACACACGTTTCTTCCAAATGGTGCACCACATGCTGCAATATGACCAACATAGCATCACCTATCTTGCAGACACCTGCTAAAGAGGCTCAACATAAAAAATAGGGAAAATTGTGTATAATTTTAAAGGACGTAAAGTTGTGTCATTTTAAGAGAGAGAAAGAGATAGATAAAGTAGGAGAGAGAGTTGACAAAAAAAATAAAGGTGTGGGTCCCGCCTCTTTGTGAGAGTGAAAGGATGTAAGTTGTGTAATTTTAAATGATAGACACTTTTCCCTAAAAAATATGATAAAAATGAACTAGAATATACAGCATTTAAGATAACATTTTGTACGGCTAGGGACATTTTCGTAAAATAACATAACATTCCCACAAATATATTACAACCAACCAAACACACACCCACTAATTTTTTTTTAATTTCCCGGGGAAATATCATCATACCAAACAGCTTTTTACTACTTTTCCAGTAAAATATATTTCTATCTATATTTCAGTAAACATTCTTTCCTGGATTAAAAAAAATTTCTCTCGTACCAAACGCTCCCTTAGAGCCTGTTTGGTATTTTTTATTTTAAGTTAAAAATTATTTTAAATTTAAGCTAAAAAAAAGCTTAAAATAAAGTTAAAAGCTGATTGATGATTTTATTAAAATTTAGTTTAAAAGTTATTTAAAAGTTTAAATTATAAATAAGCCCATAGACTTAAAAAAGTTGGTTGATGTGAAAATTTTGTTCGTAATTCTTTTCGAAAATCTTTAAAGAGATTGTATGGTCTTCTCTGACTTTAATGGGATATTGGTGTCTATAACCCCACTTAAATTTTTTACTACCAAAAAAATAAAAAATAAAAAGCTTTTTCTAGAAGCTTTTGATTTTTTTCTTCATTATAAAAAAAGAAGACTCTTTTTATTATAAGAGCTTTTGTGAAAATCTGTTTGATCTATCTTTTGCTTATAAGGAGAAAAAAATAAAAAATAAAAAGACTTTTCAAACAGGTCTGAAGATCATCTCATTCTAAAAAATGAAGTCTTGAATTTGTTATATAGGAGTAGATGAGAGGAATAATGCACTTTATCGAATTTTCTTTTAGTGTTTGGTATACTGGTTGTTTGTCATGAATACATCGTGAACATGATGGGTCTGGCCAAAAGCCCAAGTTCTCTTTTTGCAAAGCTTGATGTCTTACCTGGGCCGAGAGCTAATACTCGTTCCTTGATTGCTCACAGCTTTTTTAATATCATGAGATTTTGGATTAGTTTGATTATCCCATCACGTCAATCTCACAAATATTGTAATTATATGTAATTAATATTATAATAATTTAAAATTATTTTTTTATTATGATTTAAGTTTATTCTTTTTACTCTCTCTCTCTCTCTCTCTCTCTCTCTCTCTCTCTCTCTCTCTCTCTCTCTCTCTCTCTCTCTCTCTCTCTCTCTCTCTCTCTCATGATGTGTGTGTGTCTGTGTGTGTTCTACACACAATAGCAATAATATTCACTTTTCTTTTCAAGTCGCCTTGAGTGTGGAACCCTTTCCTAATGATATTTGATTACCTTGCTGCCATCGAAAAATCTTTTTGGGTATCTTTTGAGTGTGGAACCGTCTTGAGTCTAGATCCACCCTTACCTCCTTGGTTAGACGCTATTTGGTTCATGTGTCTTTAATCTCATTATAAAAATTGGATTTTTTTTGTTCACTCGAGCCTCCTTTGATCAGATATAAAGTTTTCATCACTGTTTAGGACATCCAGATACTTTTGTGGTAATTACTTGTTCCTTTTGTGTTGTTTTCTATATGTCTAATGGTTCTTTTTTTTTTTTACCTTTAAGCACTATGTCGGACGTTGAAAGCACTGAGATAGTTCCACGATCTACTACAAAACTTGCTACAAAACCTATAACTCCTCTCAATCCAAATGATCTTCCCACGCTCCATTAGAATTATCGTCTTCATGACAAAAGTTATTTACAAGGGTCCCAACTTGTTCATACCATCCTCAAAGGATATCGTAAGGTTTTTCATCTTGAAAATTTTGTCTTTGCCAAAATAGATCAAACATTTTCTATGTGGAATGATGAAGAATAACTTAGTATAACATGACTATGGAATTTTATGACTCCTGGAATAAGTCAACATTGCATGTTCTTTACCTACAATTCTTTAGATTTGGGACGTTCTTAGGCAATCTTTGTCCATAAAGCAAGATGCTGCCACCCACTATGATTCGAGGAATAAGATTCTTTCTACCAAGCACGGCTTTTTCTCCGTGACATAATATTATAGCATTATGATTAGGTTATGAACCGTGCTTGATTAGTACTAGAGTTTGAAAATGGAGTGTAACAAGGATGCAACACACTAGCCACCTTAGTTAAAAGAAATCAGATCTTTGATTTTCTTTACTAACTCAACTCTAAGTATAACCCCATTTGGGTTCACATTCTTGGTAAGGAAAAATGACCTTATCTTTTTGAAGTTTTTCACATTATTAAGGATGAAGAGAGTCGTAGGGCAATCAAGATTGATGCCAAGTTGCCAGATGGATATGTCATGCTTTCATCTAAAATTATTACTCCAACTCCTTTTGACTCTAAGTCCCTTACC